TGACAAGACGCTATATTAGTGTGACATAATAGGTCTTTTCCGTTGCATCGAAGGTGTAACACTGAGATACGCCACTTCTGAAAATATCGTTCCATCCATACATTTTGTATAAATGGAACGATACTTTCAGAAGTGGTGTAGCTTAGTGCTACACTTTCGATGCAAAGGAAAAGACCTAATGTGTGTTCCAATGGCAGATGACTTTTGACAAAAACAAACCGTTCTGACAGAATGGTTTATTTTTGTTTGGCACACAAATCACGTCACACCAATGCAGCGTACAAAGTGCGTTAGTGATGACGTAATTTGTGTGCAAAATAAAGTTAATAATGACAGCTGACAGTAACGTAGTTAATTTTTTGAGTGCGTTTTGTTTATAACTAAAACAGTTTTTGAACTTCTATGTGATCTTAAAATAAATATTTTTTGAAAATAAGTAGATAACATTAAGTATATATGTAATTGTTTATAAACAAATATTTTTTAACATAACATTTACATACTTACTGGCATTTACAAATTTCCATAGTTTAGACTTTATAACTAAAAAATAATAAAAATTTATTGTATTGTAAAATTTCATTTTACCTATGAATTTGCTTCTGTTATATTTAAGATTGTATTCATTTAATAGTTATTTGTGTACCAAGGCTGACAGTCGATCTATTTTGGTCGAATCAGAAATTTGCCGCCGAGGCGTAGCCGAGGCCACCAAAAAAGATCATGCGATCGATGTGCACACAATATTTTTTAGACGACTGTCTCAAGTAGATCCATTTTTTTTACATTCTTGTTCCTGAAAAGAGACTAAATGCAAGAATAGTTTAAAATTTTTATTTATCGAATAAAAACCTATTCTTAAGTATTTTAAAGATTTCTACAGAATTATTACTAACGAGAAGTATGATTAAGAGCTAAAAAAGTTATACTCTAGGGATGTTAATAAATCCGTTAAACGTCATTGTTTGCGACAGTCGCCTAAAAAAGTATACCATTGTAATAATTACATTTTAAATAATTTTGTTACATACCTACAAATAATATTTAAAAAGAAAACTAAACTCAAAAAGTATATGTCAAAAAATCCATGACAGATTAGTTTAATTTTGTTTTGTACACAAATTAGGTGACACTGAAGCAACGTATATGACAGTATATAAATGTAAATAAATAATTTATTATATATTAAAGTCGTGTGCAATGTTTTTAATTTCTTCAGATTTATATTAAAGTTCTCATTCAATTACTACATTGTCTTATTTTTAGTAACATTTCATAAAAGCCGTAGAAAAAGTATACTATATAGCTCGCACCTTAAGTTATCCTGACAACACTGCAACAAACAAATACTTGACTATGACTAGAGAGAATCTGCGCCTAGTCACAGACATTCTGACTGGTCATTGCCAAATACGAAAGCATCTTCATATCATGGGGCTGTTAGAATCCGCACTCTGCAGAGGGTGCGAACAAGAAGATGAGACCATCGAGCATATACTTTACGATGGGCCTAGTGAGGAGAAATACCGTGGGGATAACCCACCCTCCACACGTTACAGATACAGAGATAGCTAGCACGGAATGCTCATTTTTCACCTTGGTAAATAGATAAGTCGCTCCTATATCTAGGCACTTATCAAGAAGTATCAAATTTTTGAAAGTGGGAAATATTTACAACCTCCATAATCTCCAGGTTCTTTATGATCTTTCATATTCTTTAAGATTTTCTTTTTCTTATCTAAGCCGATCATTGATATGTGGTGATATCCTTCATTTTGTATTTTTGTGATCTAATTATGGTTTGCATTAATATCATCCTTATTACCTATACATAAGTCCAATGAACGTCAATTTTAGCTACATTTGAGGGTCAGAACGTCCATAACCGAATTTGGACGTCTGTTTATTAACATTAATTTGACAGCTGCATATTGATACCCAGTGGACGTCCGTCTTTAAGTTTAGTACACATACTTTGATTACTATACAGTGCAAGAGAGAGGTCCGATACGCCCAACATAGGGCGCGGCCATTTTGATGCCTTTGCCACAGTTTATTGCTAAAGAATCAGTTCGCTCACTCTGCGTCGGCACTTTTGAACTCAATGTTTCAGTTTATACACTGCGCAACTCGGTTAATACAATATATGACAACCGCCTATAATAAAACAGCAATCTTCTGCGCATCCTGAATTTGTATCCCTGGAGTGTATGTTATTTTGGAACTTTCAACTGTTCCGAGTGAGTTAATTGATTCTTTAGCAATAAACTGTGACTCCAAAAATAATATTCACTGACACTGACAGCAGCAGGCAAAATACTAAAAATATTGCGCCAAGATGTAGGCAACACGTAATAAGGCAACAAAATGGCGGAGTTTTCTATCTCCTTTTAAAAGGCACTCAGAAAGCTGCGCAGTGCGACCGTTCTCCTTATAGTAAGAGAAAATCAAAGTATGTGCATTTAGTAGTATTTTGACGTCCAGTGAATGTACACCTTAGGTGATTATTTATTTAGCTTTACTGATAATAAATATACACTCTTTTCTTTTCAAAATATAATTGGTTACTATTGCATTTCAATACACCATCGGAAATTTGAAATCTTACTAACTATTAGGGTGTGTACATGCCGAAGATGCCTCGATGATCGATGGGCAATAGGCGATGGTTAGGGTGTACATGCCGAAGATGCCTCGATGACCGAAATCGATGACCGATAGGCGATGTAATAACAAATGTACTAATGTAAATGAGAATGTACATACCGAAGATTAGCGCACCATACATTTGTATTACATCGATTGACATTCTCTTAACTATCGCTTATCGGTCACCGAGCATCGGGCATCTTCGTCATGTACACGCCCTTAAATGGATATCAATCGATGATCGATGTACTACAGATGTATGTATACTCTCATTTAAATTAGTACATTTGTTATTACATTGCCTATAGGGTGTATATGTTACGGCCAAAGATGATATTTTGGTCTTTAACGATATTGGCCGGTCATTTTCGTAATTCTCCTATTTGATTGGGCATTCTTCTGACGTTAGTGTTCGGTCAATATTGTCAGTGTCCAATTTACAACATTGCCCGTTACATATACATGCCCAAAATGCAGGCCTCACGAGAGGAAGGGGAGGGGGGACAATTTCTTGGGGCTCGGGTACAGGGGGCCCGGCAGCTTTAGCTGAGGACTTTTTTTAGAAGTTCGCCACAAAAGGGAGGACCTGGTTTACGAAAAATACAAGGTGAGGTCTTTTGGTCTTTTTTTAGATTTCACTAAGAAAGGATCTGATTTTGCTTCAGGGGGTCTTTTTTTTTAAATGCAACATAAAAAGCACTTGTTTTTTTATAAAAATGCCCCGGGGCCCACCATAGCTCTCGACGGCCCGGCCGGCCCTGCAAAGATACCTCGATTAGCGATGATCGATAGCCGATGTAATAACAAATGAATTTAAATGAGAGTGTGCACCTCAAAGATTAGCACACCCTCGTACAATAATTGCACCATACATTTGTATTACATCGATTGATACCCTCGTAACCATCGATGATCGATGACCGATGAGTGATGATAGATTATTGGTGTACATGCCGAAGATATCTTCCTCGATGAGTGATGGTAGCTGCTTCAAGCAGTGTTGCTGGATGTATGATAATGATCATTTCATACGATAATTTTCGTGTTGTGTACAATGTACGATAATTTCACTACATGACTCAAACGTTCTTTAAATAATTTAGTTTCCTCACTAATCTACAAGTACCTACTCAAATATTCTACTTTAAGTAAATTTTTGGGTAATCAGTATCCCGTATAACTTGTATTAAACAATATGTCAACTACAAAGGAATATCGATAAAAAAAAAGTTAGGCTTATGTTTGAGGATGCTCAAAAACAATCACAAAAATTAATATTTCTCAATACATCAAAAAAAAGAGTCACTATTGGGCGTTTCTTATAATTAAAAATAAGTAAAATAACTGTGTAAAATTGTATACTTTCTTCAGAAAATGCATTGATCTTTTTGCAGCGTAACCGCAACTACTAAATTAAATAGAAACTGAAATCGACCAAAGTACATCAAGGAAGAATGGCATGAGAAAGTGAGCGAGAAAGGTAACATTGGGAGATGACATTAGAGCGAACCTTCTTGTATTTGTTTATGTACGGTGCCACGAACCTTTTTGGAATGAATTACCACCATCTTTTGTGTATACGTTATCTCAGCGAGCCAAAGAAAGATGATGCATTGGACTACTGTATTCCGTTACAGAGTTAGGTCATAATGATTTTTCCTCACTTGTAAATCAAATGGCACCGTCAATCACGGCAAATAGTATAATAATAGTAATAATTACCGTCCCTTCCCCGGACAAGCTCGGCTGAATTAAGGAGAGTATTATTATAATAAAATATTTGTGTTATACTGTTGTCAAAAAGCAAATGATGCCCGGTAGCCACTCCACTTTTTAAATTTTATTGAGACATCATATAGTGATTTTTTTTGGAGAATCTTCAAATAGAGGCAGAATTTTTTCATTCATTTGCAGTGTCCCTTTATAATAATTGACTTTAATACTATACCAATCGCGTTCAAGATTTCAAGATGCTTGTAAATATTGTGGTAAATATCGATGAAAACATAGTGTGAGGGTGTGCTAATCTTTGGTATACACATTCTCATTTAAATCTGTTCATTTGTGTTACATCGATTGACATCCATTTAACAATCGCCTACCTACCGTGTCGTGAGTTCGATTCCAGGTCAGGTCAAACGTTTTTAATTCAATAAAAAAGAAAATAAGGATATATGGCGGTTTTGAAATTAACAAGTAAATATTTTAAAATAGTGTATGGCGAGTTGCAGATGTAGTGATGTCGGATGTCCAGAAAATTCCTATTGTTATATTGTTATTTGTTTATCTTTTTAAGTTTCTACCATCTATTTCTAAATTTCTGTAAAGAATGTGCAACAAAAACTCGGCAATTATACAATAAACTGTATTTAACAACATATACAACAATTTCACATATTTCAATAACGAAATACAACAATAACAATATCAAAACATTTTAAGATGGTTTCCAATTGGGGTTGGCGTGAATTAGGACCTTGATGGGGTCTCCTTCTTGAGTCTTTGCTGTGTGGAAGGCCTTGAGGGAGTCTTCAAGGGTATAATGGTGAGTGACCAAAGGTTTCACATTTACCCTACCGGATGATACCATTTCGATTGAAGTAGGATAGCTGGAATTAAAAAAAAATTAGGTAGAGAATACCAGTAGCACATTTTGGTAAAAAAATAAAATTTTCAAAAATGGTTTTAAAAACCTAAAATACTTACTCGTTGCAATATCTGAACACACCCCTGACATCAACTTCTTTGATCAAGGCATTGGTCAATGGAAGGGTCATTTCGATTTTGCCTAATCCTACAAGAACTACAACACCTGCCAAACCAGTAGACTAAAACAAAATGAAATAAATATAACAACAATTTCAAAAATAAACAAAATTATAAACAAAACCTGCATATGAATTAGGTAGACTTGGAAATTAAAAAATTATATGTAGTTAACTGAGAATAGCTGCAAAAACAGGGTTTAAGAAACGTTTATCGCATAAGAGAATTCAAATCGCCCTGCAACCATATATTAAGGGTCGATCTTTTCACCTCTGAGTAAAGTTACAGTTGACATATTAACAAACAATAGACCTCGCTCCGTGCGAAGCCATGGAAAGGGAAGCAAAAGCGATACTAGCGCTAGCTGCGGATAATTCGTGCATTTTAGGGCGATATTTTGTAATTTTGGCATATAAAATACACGTAAACATTTTACTTTTTTTCAAAAAAGTTGGTAAAAACAATACAATAAGCAACTGGAGTTGCTGTGTTGAAAAAATTGTACAAATACTAGCAAAAAAACAGTGAAAGTTATATAAAAAATTTCAATAGCAAAGTGGAAATTAAATCAAAAAAATTAATGGATAGATGTACAATAAGAAGAAAAATTACCTTTATTTTTGTAATAATATAACAGTAATGCTGGAAATAGTAGACATCAGAAACTTAAAAGGTTTTAAATAAACAATAAATTATCATTTTACGATGTTCTTTAATATCCCTGTATTCTTAAATATTCATTCAGGACTAGATTTCAAGATGTATGCCTTTGATTATTAATATGTGGCTGGAATACAATTTTGTGACTTACTGATGGGAAATCAGTTTTAATCATTCATTCTATGTTTTCTTTCGAACAAAAATGAAAATATAAATAACGATTTTTTTTTATATATTTTAACTTCACGCTAATTGACAGAATAGGCTAATTCTTCAATGACAACTTATTAGACTTATGCAACTTCTTCATACATTTTCCAGTAAATACTGTTGCCTGTCTATATTTTATTATTGATTTTTATTGATTATACATAATTTTCTTTAATTTAAGCTATAAAAATATATAATAATAATAAATTAATGTTTTACTTGTTTTACAAATCCATATACTTTTATTAAAACTAACATATATACTTTTTAATTACGAATTCTATTAAAAAATGATTTGTCAGTATACGCAGAAATAGTCCATTAGTACCAAAACGAATTGGCGCTACTGTCGCGCACGGAGCGAATAGTTTAATCAGCAAGTAGTTACTTTCAATTTTACTCAGAGGTGAAAAAACTGGCCCTTAGAAAAATAGACTTTGGAATTTTGAAAATAACTAGAAATAAACAATTAGCTCTTCCTCCCTCCCTTGAATATGGTTTAGCTACATTTGCTAGTACGATATAGTTAGGTTAAAATAAAACAAACTTACAGAAACGCAAACTCTTACGCAGGATTCAACTCCAGTACAGTCAAAACTGACGTTGGGTTCTTGTCCAAGTAGTTCATGGACTTTCTTTACGATTTGTTCTTCAGTCATATTTTTCTCAATTTTCAATGTGTAATCGGCTCCAAGTTGTTTAGCCATCTTCAATTTGACATCAAGTACATCTAGAAATATAATAATAAAAACATGTAAGAATTCTTTCAAAATATTAGGCTTGTTTTGGTTCTTTTTACCAACTACTTCAGAATCAGTGAACTACACGTATTCTTGAAAAAATTAATGCATCAACTGTATTCGACTTTTAACAGGTTGAGTTGTGATATGAAGTTCAATTATCTTACCTGTGATAACAATTTTGGAAGCACCCATAGCTTTAGCGGACAACAAAGTAACAAGACCAATTGGACCAGCTCCTGTAATCAAACAGACATCTCCAATTTTGATATTTGCTCTTTTACAAGCGTGAACTCCAACTGAAAGAGGTTCCATGATGGCACCTTCTTCAAGGGACATATTGTCAGGAAGCCTAAAAATAAATATAATTGAGTTGTCGAAACATTCAACATAATAAAACATGGAACAACATTATTTAATTTTAACAATTAGTATTTGGGCTCAAAAATCTTAAAAACCAACCCTGAAGCACGTTTGAATTTGCATTTTCGAAGCCTTACCCAATCCGCGTCACAGCAAACGTCACAAGTCATGTGAACATTTATTTTTAAAGCAATTGGGTAAGACGTGTCAAAGCAAACGACGCTATTTGAACCCTCTAATTTCAGCTGAGCATTAAAACATCGGCAACTCTCATCAGAACCATTTCTTTTCACCATCATCGGTTCATCCATTTAAATATGCAAACAGAGATTTGAAATCCTCGAAAAAGTCAGACAAACCAAAAGAAAAATTAAAATTTTGTCCCATCTCTATTTTCAGATGTACATCTACAAATTTATATCCCGTCATAATAAATTTCACAAATTCACAAGTTCGGCGATGTTTTGTAACCTAGGCGGTCGGACTAAACGTTCAACGGTCGCAAGCTCTGCTGAAACTGGAGCCAACGCAATCGTCCGTACTATTTCTTCCGCTGGATCTAGGAAGAAAGTGGTGGGAGCTCTAGGCTATTGTCGCCGCGTATATTCGTATCTGGTGTAGGTTAATCTGGGACAGCGCCCTGCTTGTGACGTATAATCCATCGCATGTGTTCATCTCTTGCTAAGCGATATTGTCGTTATCCTTGTGTTTCGCATCATAATGAGAGAGAAAACAACAGAGGCACACATTTACTGTGCCCTGTGCCCATCTTCGGAACGTCGCTCAACGCCCGGTCATCCAGTGTCGTGCCAACGCGGTTTGCGCTGAATATTAGATAAAATAATAATAATAGGCATTGAGGAAAATATAAAATATATAAGTTATTTTTTTTATATATACTAGGGCACGTGCCCAAGTGCCCTTACGGGCAAACCGCCACTGTTAGCTAGGCGTCATTCGCCATATTTAATTTTTATAAAACTAAGTAGTAAAAATAGAAGTACATGCCAGAGTGTGATGAATTCGCATAGTTAGTGTTTTTATCACAATTACTAAATGTAATCCAGTGATGTACTTAAAGTTTTTATTGAATCTACAATATTAAATGGTGTTAAAAGCGTTACCAGCATTTTATTTCTCACCAAACGAAGGTAACTTAGCTTTTTACAGTCCATTGTAGTCGGAAAATTATGTAAAAAATGTGAGGGGTAAGCACTTGCCCTGCACATGAGTTTTATTTTCTACCTGCATTGCTGCTTTTAAGAAAAATTATTATTATTTGCAATTTGATTTCTACAGCGATACAGGAAGTTGTTCTGCATAACTGTTTGGTTATTGCAAGACGTTATGAAGAAAAACACAACTGGAAAAGACGCCCAGCCAAAATACTGTAAATGTTAAACAAACAGGGGCCAAGATAAAGGCCCTGATGCAGCCCAGCTCTTATGTTTGAAGAACAATATCTACGGTTGACAATGACACGACTCCGCACTTTTGGAATAGGCGAGGCAAGATGTGTTTTTTGGCAAGAGGCGCTCGATATAAAGTTATAACGAAACAAATAGAAAAGCTAGGTATGATTCATATCTACACCGACGGTTCTAAAACAAAAACAAGGTTCGGGAAGTGAAATATACTCCAGATCCTTAAACCTAAACATAAAATGGGATGTGAGCAATAGTGCCAGTGTAGTTCAAACGGAGCTCACGGAGAGCAAAAGAAGTTACCAGAAACAATATCACTCGAAGAAACATGCTCATATATACAGATAAGAAACAAGCACTACTCACCCTGGACAGAATACGTATTTACTTAGTATTAGTACTAGAATGTCATGAAGCTTTGACCGAAATATCCATCGACAATGTGATGACCTTAAGATGGATCAAAGCCCATATCAAAGGTACCCATCTTGCTGAGTCACTAGCGAAGAAGGCATCCTACCAAATACTTTTTGGACCTGGCCCTTTCATTAGTCTGACAACATCGGTAGTGACAAAGCTAAACATTCTCCTGTGAAATTCAAGCAAAAATAGGATGAAACAAGAAGCTGTAGAGTTGCCAGGTTATCCTGACAACACTACAGCAAACAAATATATGACTAGACAGAATCTGTGCCTGATCACAGACGTTCTGACTGGTCATCCTTTGCCAAGCATCTACATATCATGGGCTTGTCAGAGAAAGCACTCTGCAGGGGGTGCAAACAAGAAGGTGGTACCATCTAGAATGTCCTCTACGATAGCCCGATGCTCTCATTTATAAGAAGATTTGTGTTCTGTGATAATTAGCGAACACCTCTTGGCGACGTTATCGACTACATCAAATCTGTAAGCTGGCTCACGAGCTAGGAGGTGTCTATCATCTTAGAAAGATGCACAATGGGCCTAATGAGGCCAAAGTGCCATGGAGTAACCCACCCTCCACATGTTACAGATAAAGAAACCTACGGTTGCTACATGCGACTATGGTTCTGAATACTCTAGTAAGGTACTGCGCAATGGAAAATGATATATTTTGCATTGTAATTAAAATTCAAGCAAATTGTTTTTACTTACTTCCAACAAAAGTCTGCATCATGAACGTAATATCTGGATAGGTTACCATCATCTGGAGGAGTGGCACAGAAGAAGAGATCTTTGCAAAGATGGTAAATACCGGTTTTACAATAATGACACAGACGACAGGGTACTCCCGGTTCAATAGCTACTCTGTCACCTAAAATTTAACAAACTTTTAGTTACTTAATTTGAATAAAAATAAAAATGTTTATAATTACCTAGTTTGAGGTTCTTTACATCTTTGCCTAATTGTATAACTGTTCCAGATGCTTCGTGGCCTAAAATAAAAGAAAAAGTTAATTTGTAATAAAATAATTACTTACATTAAATTAATATAAATAAGATGTTTTTCTTATTTCTTCAATAGTTTATTGAAAAATCAATATCAGAAATCAATTTTCGCAAAACTGTTTAAATAAAATACGACTTATTCCACGTATTATCAGAAATATATCATCAAATAAGAACTTACCGATTACCATGGGTTTTTCAACAACGAAAGGACCGCATCTTCCACTGACCAAGTAGTGAACGTCAGATCCGCAAATACCCACTACTTCCATCTGAAGAAGGACCTCTGGAAAACAAATCATTTCATATTTTACACATTTTTAACAATTGATTATAGGTGTAATAAACATCCAAATGATTTCCTTTTCAACATATTTCTTTCATCCTAGAAACTGTCTCTCACATCTTGCACCGTTCTATGTTGCTTTTTCTAAAGAATTACTAAATTTTTTATAAAAAATAGCTTTATTTTCCAGAACTGTAGTGACTTCTTGCTCTCGTTATTTTTTATTTTCTATTATAAGCCCTACATTTAATGTAAAAGCTAATTTTTGTAGTTTTACACACTTCGGACCCCCGTGCAGCTTGCGGTATTTAAAAGTCCTACTACTTTCCCATTCACTAATTCACTTCCTCATTCGGCTCATTCATTTCACGTCGTCGATGGTTGAACACTAGTCGGCTAAGTCCCATGGTGACACAGGCCATGGTGGAACCTCCCAGTGGGCACTCATCCATGATATGGCCAGAGAGATCACGGCTTAACTCTGGCGAGTATGCGAATGCACACCAATCTCACGGCTAGCCTCTTCGGAAATGTAAAAGCTAACAACCTAATAAAATAGATTATGAGCATTTTTGGATCACAATTATTGTATTTGGAGCCCTATAAGAATTCACATTTAGAATTTATGAAGATCAGATGTCTTATTTTTCTTTCTAAATAGTTACTATTGTACTATATAACCAGGCAACTGCTCTCCTACTATTTACTATACTATATAACTGAACTTCCAAACTCATATTTGCATAAAGAAGATCTGTATCTGCAACGTGTGGAGGGTTAACTCACGGTACTTAGGCCTCACTAGGCCCATTGTGCATCCTTCTAAGTTGATATACAATTCATTTATTAGAATATTTGTGTTCGGAAGTATCGGCTAACACCGGTAGATAAAAGAGAAGCTTTTGGCGACGTTGTCATTTACATTAAATCTGTAGGCTGACCGACGAGCTAGGAGGTGCGTAGCACCTTAGGAAGATGCACAATTTTGGCCTAATGAGGCCTAAGTGCCGTGTGGTAACCCACCCTCCACCACGTTACAGATAGTCAAGAATTTGCTTTCTGTTTGTTGTAGTGTTGACAGAATAACTTAAAATCTCCCTGACAACTTTGCAGCTTTTTGTTTCATCCCATCTTTCCTTGAATGTTAAAAGGGGATGTTTTTTAATTAGGTACGTCACTACCAATGTTGTCAGTCCAATAGAAGGGCCAGGTCACCGAGCCATGTCCAAAAATATTTGGTTGGCTGCCTTCTTGGTTAATAAATCAGTAAAACTGTTACCTTTCGATGTGGCGTGACCTTTGATCCATCTTAAGGTTGTTACTACATTATTGATGGATACTTCCGCCAAAGCTTCGTGACATTCTAGTAATAACCCAGAGTAAATTCGTGGTCTGTCCAAGGTGAGTAGTCTCTGTATAGATGAGCATGTTCCTTTCAGTGATATTGTTTGTGGTAATGCTTTTGCTACTATGAGAGTCCCAGTGATCTCTCTGGCAATATTGCTCACAGCCCATTTTATCTTTAAATTTAAGGATCTAGAGTATATTCCACATCCTGGGCATTCTTCTGTTTTAGAACCGTCTGTGTATATATCAATCGTACCTACCACTTCCGGCTCTTCTATTTGTTCTGTTATGCTTATGGAAGATATATCTTGAGATCTAGTGCATGTTCGCTTGAAGCAGTGGGAGCGTATCGAGCGCCTCCTGTCAAAAACCACCTCACCAGACCCCATATCAGGTTCTATTGCAACCATTCCAACAAGGGGGGTGAGACTAAGAATGATTTCCATAGCTCTGGTTGATGATGTTTCTTTGAATTTGTTCTATTTTGCGGATAGCTGTCAATTTTTGGGGTTTCGGTACCCAGACAACTGCACCGTATGTTAGCATTTGTCTTATGATGGCCGTGTAAGTCCAGGTGAGGACTCTGGGGGAGAAATACCCCCAGATGCGCCCCACGGTTCGGCGGAATTGTTCATATGCAATATATGCTTTTTTACTCTGTTTTCTAGGTGTGAGTTTCATGTTAACGTGCTGTCAAAGATAAAGAAGGTATTTTACAACAATTACAATATTGAAGTTTGGATATGCCTGTTATCGATGTTATTTATATAGATTAAATATTTAAGACAGTAAATAATTATAAAGAATGCGATAAAATGATTATCTATTTTTTAAATGTTCTGAATATGTTAAAGACGGTAATCAATTATATCGGAATCTTATTAATTTTGATATTGTTATGGGTTAAAAGATTTTATATTTGGCATATAGGAATAAAAACAAAATTACTTCTCTTCTTAAAAATAATTTATTATAAATCATAAATTGACATATTTTTAAAACCGAGTTGTAAATATGAGTAGTTAATGGTCAAATTTTAGTCTTCTTTTTCTTCCTGGTTCTCATCAAGAACCACAGAACTTATTAATTAGATATCTAATTATTTTAAATTATCATATGGCCAACCTTATATATCAAATTACACTAGAATTAGCTGATAAACTCGGTATTAAGAAAAAAAACTGACAGGTTTTTTTTCAAGCTTTCTTTTGAAAAGCACGTTTTCAGAGGAAGCTTGCTCTCGCATTTTTGCGGATTTTTCACAAAGAAAAAGTTTATTTGGAAGATTATTTTGTTTAGGAAACATAAACAAGACTCTACTTTTGAGGATAGAAAAATCCATATAACTTTTTCGATTTAATTACCGCTTCTTTGGAAGCCACATTTGGCCCCATACCACCTCAGGTAGGTTTAAAATATAGTTTGGATATAAAATTAGTTAAAATAATAATTCTTACATCATTTTACATAAAATAAATCATTATTTTAGGCCTTTTATTGTTAGTTTTTTTAACTAGCTCATTTACAACTTAAATAGGTATAGTATAACCGTGTCAAGGTATACCTACCTCTGGCTACCTAGTAAACCTACTCATGTCAAGAGTCATAGTATAATAATTGGAAGTAAATTGTCTCTTGCTGTAGTATGGATGTTTAGCTGCAGAACCATCCTTGAATCCACTCTGTACTGTCAAATGGTGATGGAAATTGTGTACATATTGAATGGAAAAATACGGAGGATCCCTGGAAGTTACAGATAAGCCTTAGACATAAGTTTGAAAATTAAAACTCAAAGATATAATTTATTTAAAATAATCAATTGCCTTTTACACTTAATTTCATTAATTTTTCCGGTAATTTACACTCACTTTGTAAAGCAAATCTTCTAGAAGTGCCGCTAAAAGCTCTGTATCTAAAGGGCTATTTTGTTTGTTTTAACCTAAAAAAAAAAAAGAATCACATTAGTAAAAATAATTATATGATATAGCAACAAAAGACTTACCTCAACCCCAAATCTTTGACATATAATCCACTTTAACTCATTTGTGTTAAATATAGAAAAGAAAAGTAATCATTGTTTATTATTGTACTACTCGAACCCAGAATCGTGAACTTTCTTTAAATATACGAAAGAAATATATAACAAATTGGCCCCAACGTGTTTTAAATACTTTTCTTCTTACTTTTTGCAAAGATTTGGGGAACTTCAGGTGGTTTTCCATAATTTCCATAATAGTTTTGAGATATTTTGTGTTGTTTTCAATGATTTGGTTTATTAACCTACAATTTTGACACTGTCAAGTCAATGTCAGTTGTCTCCAATTCAGTACCATTTGACATCATTTGACAGACACAATCGATTGTGAATCGATTTAGGCATTTCCTAGCGTTACGGTCGGAAATAATATTGCGATAGGATTAATGACGTCAGATGACAATTAGTTTTTGGGATCCTGTTTTTATTTTTATAGCAGCGAGATAGCGTTTACATAAGCGCAGTTTATAAGCATAGATAGATATATTTTTTAATTTTTTTGGTTTTGGGTTAGGTACTTTCGCTGTACCAATTTTTAAGTTAGGTAGGTACTTATTTATTTTTTTTTCTCTTTTTTTTAATACCCAAGCGTGGGGTTACCTTTGCTATACTACATATTAAATAATTCTATAATACACAACTTAGAATATAGTGATTAAATAATTTTGGGATCCATAATTGGAAAAATTTTGCCATGGAATATAAGAGGCTGTTGGGTGACGAGGTCACCTATGAGTTACTGATTAGGAATTATCCCATAGAAGGAACGGTTGCTCAGAAGCGATCATTATTGAGTGAAGCTCTTAGATTAGAACGGGAAGGGGAACGCGAGCCACCAACTTCAGTAACTTTAGATTCAAACGCGGAGATGATAACGTGTGAATGCAAATTAAGTGATTTGTCTGAAGATATTGACAATTTTAATGAAGCCAATAAACATAACGAATTCAAAAGAATTTATTCGCGTTTAATTCATTTAACATTACGATTAGAAAGATTATCATGTGACTCGGGCACGATAGAGAAATGTTCTTATTTGAAAAGCGTTTGTAAAGAATTAGAAACGAAAGTTAAACATATTTATAATAATTTGAATACGGTTAGTGCTGAGCGGTCTATACTGGACGAACCAAATATTTTACTTCCGAAAGTTTTACATAGGTCAAACCGAGATAACACGATCGAACATATCGTTTCATTTGCTTCTCATGATGGGAGTGAGATATCGGAAGTGGGAGATGCTCGTCAGGTATCTATTAACCCCATTACGTCTACAAATACGGTTTTATCTGTTGATCGTGGCTTATCTAGAGTCTCGACGTTACGAAATTTTTTTGAAAGTACTAATGATTTAGGTGGAGGAGGAAACCCTCCTAGGGTTCCGATTATATCTACGTGTACTAGCGCTGCTTCTTACCAAAACGAGAGGCATATTCAGACAACTTGTGTTGGATCGAGTTATACTCCTTCATTATTGCCAGTTTACACTCAATCATCATTTCCTTTGCCTACACTTTCTCATGCCGCATACGGGGAACCTATTTCGTCTAATATTGAAAATCTGACCCTAAATAGTTTTTCCCTGGGACAAACTTCCTTTAATTCACTTCGAGCAAAT